GGAGGACTGTGCGAATAAGATCAGGTGAAACCCACTTGCTACTAATTTGTTTTTTTTTTTCACTAAAAGAATATTCTTTGGTGATTTCTACGAGGTTACGTCAATATTCTTCCAAGCAATCTCTTTGTCGCCCTGTGTTTAAATTCAATATAAAATGTGGGTTCTCGTTCAGGTCCGGCTCATCAGCTGAGGTTCCTTCTCGAGAGTGTTCTACTCACGCAGTTCCATTCTCGTCATCTGCTGACATGTTCTTACTGCTCAAAAAAGTTATCACTGAGTGTAGTAAGCTCAGTAGTGAACCAGATGCGTTATTGAAGTTAGTCCCTTACTTATTGACCTTTCTCCCATCAATAAACTTCCCATTCCCTGTAAGCCTATTGACAAGTTTTCCACATCCGCACCAAGCTTAGCTGGTGTTTTTCAGAGATGTAGTGGGAGTCGTTCGGGTTTGTCTGCGTAACTATGCCCATGGATGTTTAACAGCATTCTTACCCACAGCTCATGGACAGCAAAGCGGAAGCAGTACGGCGAATCTATTCAATCTGATCCGGGAGGATACGACTGTTTTACGGTCAGTCCATAAGTTTGGAGCTAGTTTCATGCTCTAATTATAAATGCCGCCTTCAATGTAGATTGATGAAGTTTCCTACACTTTCAGATTAAGCGCTGATCAACAATTCCTCACCTGTTGTATATTGGCGACAGCAGATTGGTGTGCAGAGACGACCTTACAACTTCAAGAGAAGCTTGCACAGAGGCTGGCTGTGAGTCTTCCTTACGTTTAATTCTCACTTTGATTAGATTCCTTTGGTGTTTTCATATAATTAATGAGGTTTTTTGTGAAGTTAATCCTGACCGAGTTACTTTTGCTGAAACAGATCAAAAATTTGTCACGTGAGGTTGATGGGTCGCTTACCAGGTTATGCATGGGGCTTGCGTCAGCGGTGGTATGTAGCCTAGAGAATGTTGATGGGTAGATAACACTCCTTACTCATGTGGACTGAGCACGTTATTCAGGGAGTTGACCTGAGTCAAGAGATGGAAACTTTCTATGGAATCACCAATCAGGCCTTAGCCGTGTTAGTGCAGGATCTTGAAGGAACTTGTGACACAGCACTACAAGCTATCTCAAAGATCACGTTGGTTTATGATTATGTTTCTCCCACCTTTGGAACTTCTGGAAACGACCTGCTTTCAGGTGGTCAACAGTAGATGGTGTTGGTGATGAGTCCCCGTTCGTAGGTGCAATTCGATCGCATCTTCGCGCTGCGATACCTCGACTTCGTGATCTGTTATCCGATAGAAGGAAATATTTTGCACATTTGT